AGGTATTGGAGGAGGAGTTGATTTTACCTGTGTTCGGAAGGAGTACCAGAGGATGGGGAGAGAGTTGGATTATGAAGGACAGTCCATTTTATTGAACACCATATCTGGAGGGTTTTGGACTGAAGCACGGCTTCATCATGCAGGTTATGGCACAGCTGCTGCAGGCATCTGCGTTCGGTGCGGCGAGAAGCTGGAGACCCCGTACCATCGTTTTTGGGAATGTCCCATGAACGAGTTTAACCCCGACACAACGGTGGCTGATTCGGCCCATCTTGCTGAGCGTGCTGCTCAGGATGACTGTCCTGCTCTCTGGTGCCGTGGGCTCATGCCGCTTGATCGCACCATTGGGCACCTTCCCGACCCGCTGGATCGCACCTGGTTCTGGGGTTCGTTCGCTGATCGTGAAGTGAAGGAAAGGGGAGTTTGGGGGATTGACGGATCGGGGGGGAGGCTTGCTAAGGATGCCAGACTAAGGAGGTGCGGGTGGGCGTGCGTGCGCCTGTCCGCCACCCTCGATGGTATCGACGGTGGCTTTGCAGGCACCCTCCCAGGCTCCGACCAGTCGTCCCCGCGCTCGGAGCTCCTCGCGTTGATTTTCGTACTCAGATATACGTTGGGCAGAGTTTTGATTTTCTGTGATTATCTCCCTGTGGTGCGGGGTTGTCGCAGGCCGCGTGCGGCCTTACGTGGGTGTGATATGATTGATCTGTGGGTGGTTCTCTGGCAAGTTTTGGATCAGCGTGAAGGAGAGGTTGACCTCAGATGGACCAAAAGCCACCCCACGGAATCCCAAGTCAGCGCCCTTTACCTCACTCGAGTTGAGCGCCTTTTGAATGGTGCTGCTGATGCATGTGCAATCGAGGCCGCTAAGAGGGCCGAGGTTCCCGAGGTTTGCTCGGCACGCACCTTTTTGCAGGATGAGCTGCATGTGTCTATTCTCAGGCGGCTTGCCGCCATCCAGCGTGACGTGTTCATGACTTGTGCACGGGACAGCGTGTATGCACGAGTGGGACGTGACGAAGGTCCCCAGCACGTGCGGCGGAGGGGCGGACTGTCCTTCGCGCAAGAGCGTGTGCCGCGCGTGCGCGAGAAGGGACATTGCCCCGTTGTGCTACGCACGCTGATCAAGTGTAGCATGTGCCAATGTAAGTTCAGTACACGAGGCACGCTGGCTTCTTTCTGGCCTGATCAGTGCCAGGGTAGCCGCTTTGCCCGCACTTCTGCGCCGCTGAGTGAGGGCGAGGATGAGGTTTCTCCTGGTTCTGCTCTTGAGGGTGCTGGCGCTCATCCTTTGGCCATTCACTGCCACGGGACCCATTCCTTGTCCGTGCTGAATGGCATTTTGTTTTGTTCTGTCTGTGGGCGTTTCGCGGCCCAAAGTGTCCGAGGCCTGCGGGAGCCGTGTGCGCCTCCTACCCGCACTGGGACGGAGGTGCTTGATCGGCTTGCTCGAGGGCTCCCGCCAAAGTCGGGAATGGCTTTCCCTCGTGATTGATGTGGGTGGTGCGGCCGAGCCAGCACTCGGGATCCGCGCTCTCGCCATAGCGCCATAGCTCCTCTTCCTCTTCCTCTTCCTCTTCATCTTCCTCCTCCTCTTCCTCCTCCTCCTCCTCCTCCTCTTCCTCGTCCTCCTACTCCTCCTCCTCCTCCTCCTCCTCCTCCTCCTCCTCCGCCTCCTCCTCTTCCTCCTCCTCCTCCCAGAATGTAGCTGGCGACGCATTGTTTCCAGCCTCTGCCGCCACCTCCATCCATTCCCCTGGTCGCCGCCCGAGGTCTGTGGCTGATGACGTCTGGAGCGTTTGTGCCCCGCTGTCTGTTGCCACTGCCGCCATCTTGCACCGCTGCCTCCTGTCACTGCCACTGCCACTGTCGCTGCCAGCTCTGCTCGCACCACTGCCTCCTGCACCGCTGCCTGCTATCACTGCGCCACTGCCGACACTACCTCTTCTCGCACCAATGCCTGCTACCACTGCTGGGTCTTTTCGCACCGCTGCTGCCTTTCTGCCAGAACTCGCACCACTGCCTGCTGCCGCTCTTGGTCCAGTTTGACGGGCGGCCCGACGAATGCCTTGCTAATATCCGGGTAGATCTCGCGAGGTACGCAATGTTCTGGCCACGTGGGTAGCCTGACTAGCGGCGCTTGGCCTATGGGACAAAACCGCGTTTAGTCACGTGCGCATGGTATCCGCGGGAAGCGGGCCCGGACCCCTGGCCCGTGCAGTCGATGCAGTGCCAGTCCAACGCTTTTCTGGCTGTGGAGGTGGCTGTTTCTGGCCTCTCCTCCTCCTCCTCCTCCTCCTCCTCCTCCTCCTCCTCCTCCTCGTTTTCAACGCTGCCGGCTGCCGTTGCCCATTCTCCCCACACGCACTGGACCGCGCATGTAGCTGATGACGTCTGTTGCCCCGCTGTGTCAACGGATCCTGCTGCCGCTGTCGCTGCCTGCTCTTCTCGCTCGCGCTGGCCTGCAGATGATGGCGAGTGGGCGATGCCGCTTTGCGCACCTGCCGCCATTGCAGTCTCTTCTCGCGCTCCCGCACCGTCTGCTGCTACTGCTGGCCTTTTTCTCGATCGCGCTGATCTGCAGCTGATGGCGTCTTGTGTCCGCTTCTCGCACCTGTTGCAGCCACTGTCGTCACTTTTCGCGCGCGCTGGTCTGTATATGGCGTCGTCAGTAGTACGCCTTTCGTACCACCACATGCCTCCGCAGCTGTTCTGTCTCGAACGCTTCTCGCACCTGCTGCCTCCTCTGCCATCTCTTCGGCCACGATTGGACTGTAGCGTCTGGGGCCCGTTTCTGGCACCGTCGACTGCCGCCGCTGCTGTCCCCTCTCGCACGCACTGGTCTGTGGCTGAAGGTGTCTGGGCTGTGCTTGTCGCACCCTCTCTCGCGCAGTAGCTGATGGCGTCGGGGCGGGTCCGCTTCTTCCTCCTGCTGCCGCCACTGCAATATAGCTTCTCTCACGTGCTAGACTGTAGCTGTTGGCATATGTGGCTGTCTTTCTTGCCACCGATGCCGTCTCGATATGCACGTGCTGGTCTGCAATTTTGGGAATATGGTGTCCGTTTCTCGCACCGCCGTCTGCTCCCGCTGTTGCCCCTCCTTGAACACGCTGGTTGGTGTCTGTGTTTCGCTTCTCGCCCCTGCCACCACTGCCGCTACTTTTCGCACAGTGGTTGATGGCGTCGGGGCCGATGCGCTTCTCGCAACTGCTGCCGCCGCCACCTCTTATTGCACCACTTCTTGAACCACCTCTTGACGCACCACTTCTTCAACCACTTCGTCTTCCCTGTACCGGTCGAAGTGATCAGTGCTTTGCTGCCGACTGAAAGCCCGTCGGTGCACCTGATGCCTGCTGGCAGTGGTTTTGCCCGCCGCTAGCGTCGTAACTGATGGCGTCTGGCCCTGTGCTCGTTCCCGACCAGCAGTGCAGGAGGCCCGGGACGAACTTTGGAGCACTCCTGCTGAATACTTGGTCAGCTGATTGTCGTATCGTCTGTACGTTGTACTCGATCTGGTGCACTGCCGTCGCCAACTCTCGGAGCAACGCCGCCTGAGGTTCCAGACCTACTCCATTGGTTGGGGTGCTGGTGCGGTTACAGCCCAAGTTGGGCGCACGTATCGGACATGGCTACCAACGCTTGTCGTACCGCCACTCGTTTCGTTCTCAACTGTCTCCTCTTGGTCCGCGATGCGGGCTCCTCGGCCGCCGCCGCCGCGCAAAAACTCAAATTCCTGGAATCGTGAGGCAGCCCGGCGCGACCGGAGATGCCACGGCTGACGCGACCGTCTGGCCGCGTCGCGGCCCGCGAGATGGGGCCGGCCCGCCACGCGCGGTCACCCGGCGCGGAGACCGCGGTTCGGGTTCTGGATGGCCCTCGCCTCCTCATCCTTCTCCTCCTCCTCCTCCTCCTCCCCCTGCATCTTCCATACGAGTAACTCCTCCCTATCGCACCCCCTAACGCCTAACGCCCCTAATGTGTCCGTAAGGGGGGCCGGGCGTCTCGGCTAAGACTGCCTCACCATTTTTATGATCCTGAAGCTTACGGGTCGTTTTCAAAACGTGGCTCTTGTCTTGGATCCACGCACAGTTCTTTCTAAAACATTGCAGCAACTTCACGGATGGAGGGCGGGTCGTTCTCAAAATTTGGATTTCGCCTTAGCGCCGCGCGCATTCGTCTCAAAAGTTTGCAACAGCTTCGCGGATGGAGGGCGGGCCGTTTTCAACAAGTGGTTCTCGCCTTAGCGCCGCGCACCTTCGACTTCAAAGTTTGCCGGTTTTTCGCGGATGGAGGGTTACTTTTCAAGATGGGGTTTTCAGCTTAGCGCCGGGCACATTGATGTGATAGTGTAGAGCAGTTTCGAGGATTCGTGCGGTCGAAGTCCCAGGAATGGTGCCTTGGTATGATATAGGACGCAATAGTCCCACTGATTCGTCGTGCTGAAATCCCAGGAATGGCGTTCTGGCGCGATTGAGAACTGTCAGGAAGTTTCAGTCATGTTGATCCGCGGTGTTGAAGCCGCAAGAGCGGTGTTTGGGCAGGGATTCTCAATCGATGGTCTTCTAATGGGCCACTTCCCGCAATGAGTTCATTCTGCTTTCAGAGACCTGTGAGGAGGGAGCTTGGAGGGAGGGTTTATTGCAACATCGTTGATGCCTCTTGGGTTTACACTGGTCCTCCTCCTCCTCCTCCTCCTCCTCCTCCTCCTCCTCCTCCTCCTCCTCCTCCTCCTCCTCCTCCTCCTCCTCCTCCTCCTCCTCCCCCCCCGGTAGGCTTTCCGGCCACGGCTCGGACCCTGGGCGGCCGCTCGGGGTGGTTCCGACTCCCCAAAGGCTTCCGGGTGAGGCGCAGCCGACGGAGAGCACCCCAGGGGGCCCAAGAGACCCACAGGAATGTCCGAGGGTGGCCACCACGATCTCCCGAGGGGGATTCCTCCTGCTCCACTTGCCTTCTCGCGGGGGCCATGGTCCCGCCCGGTTGCGGTTCGCACGGCTGCCCGCCAGGTGGCGGTCCCAGATGTGCCCGTTGCGCAGGTCCTGCACCAGGCTGCGTCGGTGGTCCCTGGCGCGCAATCGAGGGGAGATTGCCAGAGGCGTCGAAAGGCGAAGAGAGGGAGGCATGGGGGGATCGAGGGCCCTCTCTGTCTCCTTCTCTCCTCCTCCTCCTCCTCCTCCTCCTCCTCCTCCTCCTCCTCCTCCTCCTCCTCCTCCATCCCTTTTCCTTACAAGTCCTTTCTCCCTGTCGCATCCCCAAGCAAGTCCGCAGGGCGGTCTGGGCGTTTCGCCTGAGACTTCCTCACCTATGATCCTGAAATCTGACATCTGCAACAGCTTCATGGATTCAGAGCGGGTGGTTTTCAACATGTGACTCTCGCCTGAGCGCCGCGCGCATTTCTCTTGAAATTCTGCAGCAGTTTCCATAATGGATTGCGGCTGGTTTTCAAAATGCGGCTCTTGCCTGGGCGCCGCGCGCATTTCTCTTAAAAGTCTGCAGCCACTTTAAGGATGGAGGGCGGGGCGTTTCCAACATGTGGCTCTCGCCAGAGCCCCGCGCACAGTCGTCTTACAAGATGGGCGGCTCTCTTTCAAAATGTGGCTCTCGCCGTAGCGCCGCGCGGACTCGTCTTAAAAATTTGCATCAGCTTCGAAGATTCGTAGGGTTGGAGTCCCAGGATGTGTGTCTGGTACGATTTCGGATTGTCAGGACGCAACAATCACATCTACTCGCGGCGTTGAAGTCACAGGACCGGTGTTCTGGCACGACTTGGGCTTGTCAGGACGTCATAGTCAGGTTTATTCGCAGCGTTGAGTTCCCAAGAATGGTGTTCGGGCGCGATTGGGGATTCTCGAACGGCTGTCTTTCAATAGGGACCTTCCCGCAATGGAACAATTATTGTAGGGTCCCATGTTCAAGGGGATTTGGAAGGAGGGAGTATTGCAACATCATTGGTGCGTCTTGGGTTTGCAATGGTCCTCCTCCTCCTCATCATCATCATCCTTTCCCACAATTGCACCAAATTTATACCACTCTCACTCTCTCTCTCTCTCTTTCTTCTCTCCCCTGACTACGTGCAGGAGGCATCCCGCCCCCTCCGCGCAGTGCCTTTTGTAGGATTAGATCTCAAAGGTGCAATGCCCGATGCGTGTTTTCAATCCGATTGCTTTGCTCAAAATGAGCGGTGCTCCCGCCGTTCAGAATGGCGCTCTCGCCCCAGCGCGGGCCACGCTTCTGGAGCAGGGTCCCTTTCATCGTTGCCGCCCCCTCTTTCCACCTCCTCCGCCTTCCCCTGGTCTTCCTGCTCCTCCCACTTGCTCTACTCCAGTTCCTGCTGCTGCGCTTCGTCCTCGTCCTCTAACTTCCTCATTATCCTCCTTCTCATCCTGCCCATCCTCCTGCGCACTCGCCACCTCCTCCTCCTCATCCTCCTTCTCCTCCTCCCCCTCCTCCTCCTCCTCCTCCTCCTACTCCTCCTCCTCCTCCTCCTCCTCCTCCAATGTAAGCAGCTCCCCCGTCTCTGTTGCGCATAACGCGGTTGCGTGTTGGGGGAAGTCCAGCTGTGACCAGCGTCCGCAGATAGAGAAGACACACAGTGCAATGGGAAGGGATGGGCGGGAGGGATGGATAGGACATCAGATAAGGCGCGAACGCACATAGCTTGTTCCTGACCCTCTCCTCTCCTCCCTCTTCTTCCCTTCCCCTCCTCCCCACCCCCTCATTCCTCGTCGCTGCAGCTCGGTACCATTGTGCTGTGTTCGGTTACTTCTATGCCAAGGGAGCTCGAACCACACATTAAGAAATCGCGAACTTCTGTGGGCAAGTGGCGCAGGAAGACGCGGTCGGAAACCCTGACGACGCGACTCCCCCTTCCCTCCCCTGCCCCACTCGCCCTCCCGTCGCTTCCACGGCCCCCCTCATCCACGCCTGTCGTTGTCGTGCTTAAGTAACTCCCAGCCAGGTGTTCATTTGCCTCCGCAGGACCTCTCATCCTCGAGTCGACCCTGGACGCGCACTGCGCATCAAGCCTCCCGCTCGCCCCGTCCCCTGGGCGAGGCCCATCTTTAGGCCTCGCCTGTGAGGACCGCCAATAGGACTGACACTCTTAGCAGTTCCTATCAGAGTGACTGCGCGAGTTCCCGCCCCCACTGATCAGCCTGCCGTCAATAAGCACCGAAGGGTCCGAGGCTCCCTCCTGCGGTCCCTCGGCCAACGAAGACGGCCGTAGGGGGAGGGATCCGAACATACCTCCACCAACTCCCACACTTCTCATGACGGCGCGAACTGCCATACACGGAGTATTCCTCCTCCTCATCTTCCTCTTGCCCTCCTCCTTCCTTTTTCCTCCTTGTCCTCCTCCTGTGCACCCCGCCTGCCTCCCTACCTCCTCCTGCTCCTCCTCCTCCTCCTCTTCTCCCTCCTCCTCCCGCCGCCGCCGCCGCCGCCGTCGTCGTCGTCGTCGTCGACGTCGTCGTCAGGGAGGGAAGACAGAAGGCGCAACTTCTTCTACTCGTCTAGCGCGCTCGCAGGACAAGGGGGAAGAGGAGGAGAAGTGGGATGGGAGGCTTTTTTTTTTTCTGCTGGCCGCCCTGTGCAGCCAAAGACGGCGCAGGCGCGCATGGGCTTTGATCGCGCCCACCGCAGCCGTCCCATTGCACCACCACCCCGCTTCCTGCATGGCCCCCTCAACAAGGACATTGATACACCAGGATAATGGCGTGTCCGAGAAAACTGCAGCCGGAGTCGAAACATTCTCGACGATTCGTTCTCTCCTGGTGGAATCTTCAAAGTCCTGGTCAGCGATGTCCTGGTTTCGGAGGCCCTGACTCCTCCTCGTCCCCGCTCGCCGCGGCGGCAGGCGAGGACGGGGAGGAGGCGAAGAGGGCGGAGGCCGGCTGCCTTCAGGCGAGGTGCAGCCTGCCTCACTGACGTCCGCGGGGGTGGCTACCTTGACGTCAGACAGACATCGTCTCCTGGCGGTCGCGGTGCTGGCGGATCCACCCGTGCGCTCCGCCGACGTGGTCGCCGCCGCGCTCAGCGCCCGGCGCAGCCCCAGGGGCTCGGAGCCAGGCGGCCGGGCGCCGAGGCGGAGGCCTTCAGGGCCAGAGGCGGCAGCGGCACGCATGCCCCCTCAGCCGGCCTGGAGGGAGGGGGGGGCGGGGGAGGGAGGAGACTGGGGAAGCGGGAGGGAATGGGAGCGAGGAAAGGCGACACCACCCTCAGCAGTGCGAGGCGCCAGTGAGCATCCTGCCGGTGGTGCAGTGCCCCCTCTCGCTCGAGACGTCCCCTGTCCCCAGCTCGGGGAGGCACCGTGGGACCCCTCGCTGGAGGTGGCTCCCCTGGTGGTGGTGGTGGTGGTGGTGGTGGTGGTGGTGGTGATGATGGTGGTGGTGATGATGGTGATGTCGCTTTTCCTCCCTCCGAGGCAACTTCTGTGAGGGCGAGGAGGGAGCGAGGGAGGGAGGGAGGGAGTTGTCGGGTCGGGCGAAAGGGGGATGAGAGCAGAGGGCCAGGGGGGGTCAGCGAGCGAGCTCACGCAGCTGATTTTCTTGGCACTGGCGGCTGGGCCGAAACCAGCTGCATGCAGCAGATGTCATGACCCCCCCTGTCCGTGCCCCCCCACTTTCGCCGGATCCGCAATTGGGAGGGAAGGGGGAGGTGAAAGGAGGCAAAGAAAGGGGGTAGGAAACAGCTTCCAAGAGGTCTTCGTGAGAACGGTGAAAAGCTAATGAACCCGATTAAAAGCTAATGAGCCCCATTGGAAAACTAACGGCCCAAATTGAGCCCGGGATTCAGATTAAGCGGGATTCAACAGAATCCAATCGGGTAGTGTTGCTTCTCGACCACGGATATACCAGCGCCGAGTCTGAATTCAACCTCCCAGAAGCTGCATCCTAAGAGGACGGAAGAAAGGAAGGAGGGGAACGGTCGACCAGGAGGAGACACCATCCTGGGAAGATCCAGTGACAAGTGGTATCTGGAGTATGGGTCGGGGAGGCCTCATGGGGCTCTGCGGCAAGTCTCTCTGCAGGCAGATAACTCAAAATGGCAACGAAAGGCGGCAGGAGGAGGGAGAGGGACGACGAGGGAGGAGGACAGGGAGGGGGGCGCGGCGGCAGGAGATGGAATGAGATGGAGGGGAATGAGGGAGAGGAAGAGGAGGAGGAGGATGAGGATGAGGATGAGGAGGAGGAGGAGGCAGGGAACGGCAGCACGACGGCGAAGACGACAACAAGGACAAAGACGACGAAGGCGACGACGAAGACGACGACGATGGCGACGACGAAGACGTCTGGGGAGCACGAGGACGACGACTAGAGGCCCCCTAGATGGGGTCCGAGGGTCCGAGTAGATGGGGTCGGAGGATCGCGCCGACGTCGGTGGTGCATCGGCGACGCCAGCTTGGAGAACATCGGACTCCACATCGAGCCGCATCGCCAATGCATCGGTGATGCGGCGCGATCCTCCGACTCCATCTACTCGGACCCCATCTAGGAGGCCCAGAACGAGGAGGCAGGGCACGGCAGCACGGCAACGAGGACAGAGACGACGAAGGCGTCGCAGACGCCGACGCCGACGCCGACGCCGACGACGCCGACGCCGACGCCGACGCCGCACGATGGCGACGGCGAAGGCGCCTGGGCCGAAGGGGGGGCGACGACCGACGCAGGCGGCCACGAGCCTGGCCCTCGCCCGCGGCGCACTCCCGGGCCGCCCGCCGAGGCCCAGGGCGGCCTCGCGGGGCGACGCCGACGGCCCCCGCGCCCCCGCCGCGCCGCGCGCGCCGCGCCTGGCGGCGGCCGCGGCGGCCGCGGCCGCGCCGCCGTCGGGCAGGGCGGGCGGCAGCTCCCGGCGCGACCTCGGGCCGCTCAACGGCGGCGCGCCGAGGGGGCGGGAGTGCGCCGAGGGGGGCGGGCCTTCTCGGAGGCGGCGGGGCCTCGGGAAAAAGCGGGGCTGCTCGGGAGGCCGCCGCTCGGGTCGCTCAACGGCGGCGCGCCGAGGGGGGGGGGGTGCGAGGGGGCGGGCCTTCTCGGAGGCGGCGGGGCCTCGGACAAAAAAAAGAGGCTCCTCGGAAGACCGGAGGCCTTCGTCCGTGGCCTTTCCGAAACTGCCCGCCCCCCCGGTCTCCCTCCCTGGGCGCTCCGGCCGCCCGGCAGGAAAGGCTCGCGGGTCGGCACCGCGCAGCTGGCGGGCTGCATCCACCGAGGGAACACGACCCCGATCCTCGGTGACTCGGGCGCGGGTGGCCGGCAGAGCATCGCCAGCACCACGAGCCAGGATACCCCTCCCCCTGGTGGAAGCAGCCCCGTGTGTTGGTCTCTCGGGTCGGGCGAAAGGGGGGGATAGCAAAGGGGGGGTTGAGAATCAGCTCACGTAGCTGATTTTCCTGGCGCCTCCTGGCGCCGGAGGCGGCCATGTATCGAGGAATGGGCCCCTCAGTGGGGCCGAAACCAGCTGCATGCAGCAGATTTCGTAACCCCCCCTTTCCCAATCCCCCCCTTTCGCCCGACCCGAGAGCCTCGGTCCTCGCCTCCAGGCTTCCGACGGCATGGCCGGAGCGGGCCCCTGGAGGACGCAGGGCCCGGGAAGCCTTCTGCACCGCTCCATGGGCCCACGGGGCCCCCCACCGGGGGCCGAGGACCGGCACCCAAACCTGATCCGGGATGAGCTGGCCTGGAAAAGACACCAGGATCTGGGACTCGTTTCTCTCGTCGTCGTCGTCGTCGTCGTTGTCGTCGTCGTCGTCGTCGTCGTCGTCGTCGTCGTCGTCGCGGATCGAGGATCGGGGATCGAGGCAGAATCAGGGTGTGTGGTCATCGTCTGCCCACTTGTCTGGGCCTTTCTTGGCCTCTGGAAGCCTCTGGGGGGCTCCTTGGACCACCGGAGGCCTCCACAGTCCACGAGCGTCGTCAAGCTCAAGACGGCCAGCTATTCCTGATGAGATTCAGGTTTGGATGTGACCCCGGAGGCCCTCAAAGAACAAACTACTCGCAAAGAGGCACAGGTCCCAGGGAGGGGGGTCGACGGTCGAGCGCTCCATCCAGGGCCCCCCCCCCGAGCGGGGGAATCGGGATCAGGACCAGAATCGACTGGGGTCGGCAACGTCGCATCGGAATCAGCATCGGTGCCCTAACCAGCCTCGTGTTCATGACCTATCCCGCAGATTGACAGGCTCACAAGGCGATGACAGTCTTACTACGAAAGCACCCTCTTGAACTGAGGCAAATACTTCAGTCGTAGATCGGTTCCGACATGAGATAGGGATGCGTTCCAGGCTTGTCAACTCCGCGGGATGAACCAAAATTGAGACTGGAGGCGAAACCAGGCAAGTCGAACCGGAACTAGACTCGGAAGAAGGACATCGATTTGCGAACTGGACCGGTCCGAATACTGGGATAACGCCAGAAACCCGATGCCGACCGCTACCTTTTTTGCTCGAGAAAGAAGAAGCAACGACCCACTGTACTCCGACAGCGAACAACTTTACAAAGGTGCACCTGTCACGGAATACCTCTCGGAAGTGGTGAACACATGATCCTTAAACGGACTCGGGACTCACGTGGATTACCCTACACTGGCACGCCGAACGCTGAATGGAATATCCGGCAAAACCCGATGCCAACCGCTACTCCCCGGACCTCTCCCCGGGCGCGTTCTGACTAGAAGTTCGGAATGGATCCAGCCGTGGCGCCGAGGGCCTCCCAGGAGGTCAACAGAAAGGAGGGAGGGCGGCACCGGGCATCGGTACCTTTACGCTGACGTGGGGGAGCTCCAGCCCTAGAGCCAGACGCTGTAAGGACCGGTGGCCCTGGCTCGCCTGTGAAGGCGGCCAGGTTCTGCATCGTCATATGTGACCGAAGTCCAGCCACGGCGGCGAGGGTTGGCACTTGAGTGCAATGATGGCGACAGGGAGCGCGCGCTTGCCTGCTTTTACCCCAGCGCCTCGCCGAGCCATGTATGTATCGGCGGCAGCCTTTCCTTCCTCTCATCCTTCCTGGCAGCGGCAGCGGCACGAAGCGTAAGGAGGGCGAGATAAGTGGGGGGAGAATCCCGACCCCCAACCCCCAACCTGGGACCACCCGCGGGGACTAGGGGGGCGGGGCTACCGCTCCAAAAACAACACGTGCGCCGTAAACTGGGACGGGTAAACGCACAACATTCTCCTTTGAAATATCGGAACTGCGCCTGTGCCGGCGGAAGCCGCCCGCGGTCGAGCGCGATCCCGCGGATACGCGGTCGTGCGGATGCATACGTTCCGCGCGGAGCTTTCGTGAAAAAACGCCCCGTGTCCGCGGGGTCGCGGCGCCCAGAAACCCCGCCCGCGAGACCGTGGATATGGATCTGGCGGGTTCTGGAAACCCTGCACCCGAAAAGGTTGCCATCTCTTGAGGGCGCGCTGTTTTACTTCCGCCAGCTTCTGCCCGGCTTCCGCCGCCGTCCGCCGAGGAAGAGATGGCAACCCCTTCGACCCGCGAAAGGCGAAGCCCTTTCTGCAACGCCTCGGA